GAGTAAAAAAGTTATGGAACAAAAAGCATTTAATGTTGCAGGTAAAGTTACAACACTTTCAGAAGGAGAATTCCCAATTAAATATAAAGGAATTTATATGACACCAGAAGAATCTAGACTTAATTTTGCTAAGAAAGGATGGAAAACAATTGCTGCACTTCAATTAAGAAATCCAATGCATAGATCACATGAATTTCTTGCTAAAATTGCAGTTGAAGTTTGTGATGGAGTTTTTATTCATTCACTTGTAGGAAATCTTAAACCAGGAGATATTCCAGCTGAAGTAAGAGTTAAATGTATTGATGCACTTGTTGATAAATATTTTGTTAAAAAGAATGTCCTTCAAGGAGGATATCCACTTGATATGAGATATGGAGGACCAAGAGAAGCTCTTCTTCATGCTACATTTAGACAAAATTATGGATGTACACATATGATTATTGGAAGAGATCATGCTGGTGTTGGTGATTATTATGGACCATTTGATGCACAAAAAATCTTTGATAAAATCCCTTATAATGCTGATCCTAAGAAGAGACTCTTAACTCAACCTATGAAAATAGATTGGACATTCTATTGTCATAAATGTGATGGAATGGCTTCATTAAGAACTTGTCCTCATACTAAGAAAGATAGAGTTATTGTTTCAGGAACTATGGTTAGAAAGATGTTATCAGAAGGAAAAACTCTTCCAGATCATTTTGGACGTGCTGAATCACTTAAGATTTTAGCAGATTATTATCAACATCTTGATAAATCAAAGAAGGTTACTATCAAGTTACAAAAGTTTGCTACTGGTGATGCCATGAAATAAGTGTTTTAAAATTAACTTTAACACTTTCTTTTTTTTAATATAATCATTTGGTTTTTTAATTTTTAAATAAATTTTATCAATAATTAAGAAATTTGTATTGAAAAATATCATATTTATTATAGTATAAGAACTAATATGTAGATTGAATAATGATATTTGAAAATAAATGTAATTGTATTATTTTATTTCATTTGTATATTTGTGTTGTTATTTTATTATTTTAGATTCTTCTTTTATGTTACTTTGAATGAAATTTCAATTAAATCAATCATTACTTAATTTTGTACATTATCAATTTCATATTTTCATTCATTAATTCAAAAAGAGTTATTCTTAAGAGTCAA